ACACACACACACACACACACACACACACACACACACACACACACACACACACACACACACACATATATATATATATATGTGTGTATAACTATGCTTTGACCTTACGTGTATTACCTCCTATACTATGTAACTCATTGATTACATTCGCTACAGGTTGGCTAGGGCGGGGTCTTGGCGAGCCATAGTGGAAGCGCAAAAAAAGGTGTCGTCAGATCCATCGGCGTATCGAACTTCACAGTCGCGCATTTGCGACAGCTTGCCTCTCCTCTGTGCATCTGCTCGAGCGGGTGTGATCGTGACATGCCATCGCAAAGGTGTATTTCACACACGGCTGCTACTCGATTAGAGACGAACGAGGAGTGTGCCAGTGAGTGCACTAGCGATGTTGGGAATGCCACAGATGTAGTAGAGCGCGCGGGCGAGTGTATGTGCGGGTCCTATTGGAAAGCTCGGCCGGTAGTTAACCAGGTTGAAATGCACCCGATGTATCCCCAACGGCATCTGAGGCAGATGAGTGCTGCTGTACCTATATCAAGGGTGACTACCACAGATCCTTCGATCCGCGTGGTTGGTAGTGAACAAGCGCCCGACGAGGACAAGGACGTGTACGGGTATGAACCGGACACTAAGGATATGAACTGGACGACATATAGCCAGCCCAAGAAGTGTGGGGCAGGCCACTCCGGTGCACACACACCTGAGGACACACACACCAACAGCACGAGTACAGACGAATGCGATAGCGACATAGATAGCCACACATCTGGAACGGTTGACGCTGTGGCGACAGGGTATAGGTTACACGTGCAGGCGTATAGTGCGCTGGGATCAATGCAAGGGGCGAGTCTCAGGACCCATCCGGTGATCAGGGACGTGGCGCAGTCTATAAATAGAACACCGGCACAGGTGTTGTTGCGTTGGTGTGTGCAGAAGGACTGTGGGGTGCTGTGTCAAAGCACAGACGCCGATCGCATGCGCGAGAATCTGGATGTGTTTGGGTGGGCACTGGATGCTGTGCATGTGACACGCATTGATGACATTGCGACTGGCAATGAGGAAGGTGTCAAGTTCTGCTGGGACCCGGGGGCTATAGCGTGAGGGTTTTAGGGTTTTAATCGGTTTAGAGGGTTGTAGTCGCGTAAACTAGACTGTCTGTCGAATATCATCTGCAGTTGAGCCATCAAAGAGGCACACTAGAGTGTGGGGTTAATGCCATGCCTCTACGTGATGTTCTTTGTACGCGCAGATGATCGCGACTCCCGCCTGCAGATGAAGGTGGGGTCTGCAAGCGATATTGGACGGTGCTTGCACAATTTGTAATTGATATTCCAACTTCATGAGATGTATCCCTGTTTTGATCTCCTTTATACAAATATATATCGTACATAAGTACTGATATACAGATTTTTACGGTATAGCGATATCAATTGAAGATATATCAGCTTTCAATTGCTCCTCAAGGGCTCGAAGGAGCGCCTGAACACATACAAGGGAGTCCATTCACAGGGTCAACGAAGCCGCCTCCTTGTCCAGAAAAATTAGGACAAGTGCAGAATTATGTGTTCTTGTCGTTTCCGTTTCTGTATGTTTACACACACACACGATGTATCCCAGAAAGGAAGAGAAATAAAGTTTTTGATGACATCGGTTCCAATATCGCATTGACTTAAAAAAATATCCTCCCTGACAGCAAAGGCTTTGACTGGGCTATTTTGTTTACATACTCCTTTGATTTGTATTTGCTGCCAAGTGTAGTACATAATTTATCATATACAATCTAGCGCGCAACACATACTCATACAACAATCTAGCCTGCGCAATCCCCTCACGCCGGTGTCCCCCTCACAGCCCTCGTGCTATCAGCAAGCCAATCCGTTACCATGGTAACCAGCAGATCATCCACACTCTGCCGCCTGCCCACATTACCCACAATAGTGCCGTGGGTAGTGGAAGGTAGTATATGGTGGCTCACACGCGCACCCGCCTCCGCCAACAACGCACATAGCTTTGCACTGTCTTCGCGCAGATGGAATTCAATAAACGTTGCGTTGAAGAGTAAGAACGGGAATTTTCGGAGTACTCCATTGCTCCGTAGCTCCTGCGGTGTATCGTACGCGTTTGCTGTCCTTTCGCGTGCTCCGTGCAACGCGCCTTGCGATGATTGTGTGGGGGTGTCTATGTCGGTGGATATGCCAGCGTGCGAGGCCATATCTCCATGTGTTAACCGATCTGTAGGTGCATGGCTGTGTGCTTGCAGCCGTGTCTCTACAGACGCCACCATACGCGCATGGTCCTCGGCCAGCCTTATCGGATCAGCAAGCGCCAGTTCATGGTCACTCAGATGCCCAAACGCCGGCATAAAATAGTTGTACTTAGTCAAGTAGCTATCTCTGAGCCTGCACAAGTCATACACCCCAGACACACTGATAACCCCGGCCAGAGAGCGCATCAGCGGGGTGTTGTACTCCCCTTCCACATATACGCGCTCGATGTCGGATAGCTGAGTCGTATCACAGGGGCGGTCGGATATCAGACCCTTTGTCCCACTCTCCCGGCGGCTGGCCTTACGTTTGAGTGTGTTATTTTTCATGCCGGATTCACTCGACACGTCTGTCAACCCAGTACTACACACAGGTTTCCTGCGCACATTCCTGGTCTCTGTATGGGGTACGATAGAGTTGACACTCCCCCTACTTCCCTTCATACATCGCACCGCCTGATCCACTTCAGCGTGCTCGCCCTTGCTTTCTCTCTTACCTGTACCCACTGACCTACCGCCTTGACCTTGTTCACCTACGCTTTTATCTGTACTGCCCACAAAGCCCTCAGACACAGCACCGTCCACCTCAGCACTCGACCCCAGACAGTCCTTCCCACACTCAGCATCCACACACTCATGCGCTTTCCCATTCAGATACTGCGGATTCAGCGCTAGCAGTGTAGCCAGATGGCCTCCAGCGCTATGGCCCATCACGAATATACAGTTGCCATCACCCCCGTACAGATGTGCGTTGGTGTGCACGAACCGATACGCACGTGCGGCATCCTCTATGTGCCCCGGATGGCGTACGAAGCGGTCGCGGTTGTAGGTCAGTTCCTCATAACGCAGCAGCATACACAGTAGAGTGAAGAGAGTGATGAACATCCCCACAGCCAGGCTGGTGGGCTGAGGGGTGTGGGCTGTGTACCTCTCCAGCAGAGCGCTACCTATATGTGTACACGCACAGAGCTTTTGGACGACGTATCCGGCGGAGAGCATGCCCACACTGAGACCAGTCGCCTGTGTGAATGAAAGGAGTACAGGGTATGTGAAATGTATTGTATATGTTTAGTATGGACTGAGGTGTAAGCTAAGATACTTCAACAACGTATACGAGTCAATGGGTGTGGCTGTGAAACGCTCGTAACGCGTAACTTGACAACTGTGTGTCGTACATAGTCAGCGATGCATGTGTGATGCGAAACCGAATATATTATTAATTGAGGGCACCTATTCCTGGTATCTATGACCAGGATGTTGGGAGCACTGAAAGAGACCAGCTTCTCAATCTTGCCAAAGGAAGGCCGATAAACTAGATATAGTTACGATGCGGAATGCGACTTAGCAACAAGTGTTCTATATACAAAATCAGACGAGTGCCCTAACCGACCGTGAGATGAGGTTTGCGACCCAAATATTAGCAGAGAAGATGGTGGCACGTATAACAACAAATACTCGCACTTCTAGTCGTGTACGGCATAATATGCACGGCTAGGATAGCCCCTATCGATACATGTATATGTGTGTGTGCAACAACCGGAGCATACAGCACGACAATTCCAATATAGATGCAATCCCCCCACCGTCGCTCCCGTTTCTCCCTCTGTATCTGTCTTGCGTCTCGGCTTGGTTCTCACACTTACTGCAATCCAGCATCACATTCAAGCACACACCACTGCCGCATGCGCGTGTATTGGTGAATCGACTGAACATACCGTAACCGCCGATATGCCCAGACCCAGTGCGATACTCCAGAGTGTGTGGTGCCGAGAGAGACGGTACGACACTACGAACGTGGGATATCCCTTGGCGGACAGTGTTTCACCTATGTTACGCCCCGAGTTGACTCCGTATCTGGGGCAAAACAAAAAGAAAAGGACAGGGGACCTAAATTTTGGGCGAGCATTAATACCTTGTAACTAATCTGCATGTGTTCTCCTCTACATGAGTTCTAAACTGCAGGTGTTGTTGAGATACAACACACGTCTGTCCTCAGAGAACTATCGAATGAGGAGTCCAAGCCAGCTAGTGAATGAACATCCAAGCGCCTGTAGATCACCGGAACAAACGAAGCTGCGAGATTGAACCATGCTTACAGAGGTTGCACAGATGCACGGGATATATGATTGCGTACAAAGCAACACACATGACGCACCGTCAGGAACAAACAGGCACTAAAATGTGTAGGTCAAAGGGGCTGAATACAACGCAGCGGTGTCGTGGTTCATATAGTTTGGATACAATACATGCTTGTTCAGGGCTCTAAGAAGGAGCATATGATGTTAAACCCAGGTCTATAAGTACAGAATGGCTATTATCCTCAATATACATCGACACATACGGCATGAATTTGTCGCCCCTCTTCCAACCACCGCCTTCATACAAACCAATTATGCAGCGGAAATCATCCAGTACGACCCAGTCGAGCGGAGTATGTTTGATTGAAAGGACAAGTATGACACAATGTTAGTAGAATGTGATGGTTAATAAGAAACTTGAAGCTGAATTTGCCGTTTGGATACTCGCGGAGATAGTACTACAAAATTTCGCATTACCTACTTGCATGAAAATATACGAAAACTAATATTTTATATATATACATACATACATACATACATACATACATACATATATATATATATATATATATATACATAANAATATATATATACATACGTACTACATACA